TCCCCCAGGATGCTTACCTGGAGTTTACCTGGAGAGAGTTCCGGGGGTCAACGCCCCCGCGGCCCGGTCTATGACCAAGTCAATTATTTAATTAGGTTAGTTTACTAACATGCTAGAGTTTGCAGTCTGACTTTTTATATAACAATCTGGTTTATGATTTATTACATTTGGAGCTTTTATGTAACAATATGTTATAACACTGAAGCGGAACATATGTTTAGTTATTACATATGTTGAAATATAGGTCACAACGAGGATGTCATTATAAATGCTAATATCATTCGGCTCATCAGACCTGTTATTGATAAATTGGGCCTTAAAATAAATAATCTAAGCAGGGTTTATGTCAGATTTAAAAAATGCTTTTTATCTTTATTTTTGAAGCAGGTGGCTGATGGGAAACTTTTTGCATCGTTTGGAAGTAAGTTCCAAATTTTAGGGTCCTTTATTTGACTGAGTGTCCATATAAGTTGAGCCGCACAGATGGTTTACCTGGAGACCTGGAGAGAGTTCCGGGGGTCAACGCCCCCGCGGCCCGGTCTGAGACCAGACCATGGTGCTGGCAAGATTGGACCATATAGTTGAGAAGTCACTATATGGTTCAGCTATATGGTTCAGTATAATCTCTCTTATCTTGGCAATCCTACATGAGCCTAGTATTTGAGAAAGTGTTTTCTAGGTCTTTTTGATATTGCCATCTATTTCTTAGCATAACACAACTGTTCAGATTTCTTTATAAGCATATTGGGTGTTGATGTATATGTTTTTTGCTAATTCTTTGGGAATTAAACCCAGAGGTAATGTTTTTTGTCAACAGAGCTGATGATAGTGTTGTTTAGCTAAGGGCTACTTAGTTTTCCTGTTGTTACCTGTTTGGTCTTTTAAGGGACGAGGTTTACTGAGAAGCATTGATTTTTTTTTAAGGAAAACTTGAGAACGTTAGTGAATATCTTGATAATTATCGAGTTCTGTTTGCCAGTCACTGATATGTATTGACATGATAAAATTATTCACTGAAATCTCGTCGTGGAGCCTAAAGAGGTATTACAGGTGTCAGTTGGTGATCTGGCTTTGTTGAAAACAAGGAAGGTTGCGTAAAGACTAGTTGTATACTCGTCAGTGATTGTGTCAGCTTATTTTACGATGTTTAAGTCTGCTGGGGTTTAGTCAAGGGAGATCCACCTAACTGGGAATTTATTGTTCCCGTTGCTCTTTCAGGAGGAAACTTTATTTCCTTTATAATTCTCGTCTATATCTGGTGCCCTGTGGCCTGGTGGCTAAAGCTCTCGCTACACAAGGCGAGGGTCTAGGTTCGATTCCTTGGGTGTTAGTCGACTGGTGTGGGTCGCATCCTGGGACAAAACTGACCTAATTTGCCCGAAATGCTCTACATAACAAGTGGCTTTCTATATAGTGGTATGTCATTGATGTCAGCTAGACCTGTATACCTTGTACATATACTTGCAGAAATAAAGATATAACATTTTCCCCGGACTCCTGGGAAATAAGATTCAATATGACGCAAGCTTTAGTAGCCTTTAATAAGTCCCAACAACACTGATACCCTGCTGGTGTCCTTTAAGGACGCTGCACCAGCCTTCATAGCGTGTATACGTCTCGCTCTAACCTGAGTGTCAGTGACAGATTTTCCCCGCTCTCTCTGAGACGCTTGTCCTCATTTACTATGCTTCCCGGGAACGTTACAGGAGTACCTATCATCTGCTTACTTTTAGGCAGCTCCATTATCAGCTTCGCGGATAATTCTTCAACGGTTTTGGTGGGAAGCCGGTTACTGAACTTAATAATAATAATAATAATAATAATAATAATAATAATAATAATAATAATAATAATAATAATAATAATAATAATAATAATAATAATAATATCTTTATTTACTACAAGTACATGTACATGGTATACAGGCCTAGCTGATATCAATGACATACTATACAGGAAGCCGGTTGTTATGCAGAGCATTTCGGGCAAATTAGGTCAGCTGCCCGAAATGCCTGGAGTTTACCTGGAGAGAGTTCCGGGGGTCAACGCCCCCTCGGCCCGGTCCGTGACCAGGCCTCATGGTGGATCAGGGCCTGATCAACCAGGCTGTTACTGCTGGCTGCACGCAATCCAACGTGCGAACCACAGCCCGTCTGGTCAGGTACCGACTTTAGGTGCTTGTCCAGTGCCAGCTTGATGACAGCCAGGGGTCTATTGGTAATCCCCCTTATGTATGCTGGGAGGCAGTTGAACAGTCTTGGGCCCCTGACACTTACTGTGTTGTCTCTTAACGTGCTAGTGACACCCCTGCTTTTCATTGGGGGGATGTTGCATCGTCTGCCGAGTCTTTTGCTTTTGTAAGGAGTGATTTTCGTGTGCAAGTTTGGTACTAGTCCCTCTAGGATTTTCCAGGTGTATATAATCATGTATCTCTCCCGCCTGCGTTCCAGGGAGTACAGGTTCAGGTACTTCAGGCGTTCCCAGTAATTAAATTTGTTTTCCAGCCTAGATAGAACAAGCGACCTGAAGAGTGTCATCATGGGCTTGGCATCCCTAGGCATGCTAGAGGCCTTCTTTTTAATTAATGACCTTCTTTTTAATTAATATTTTGTGATGAATGGTTTGAAAAACCGACAAGTTGAAGATTGAGACACTTATGCAGCATATGGAAATCTTTATTCAGGAAACGTTTCGCCACACAGTGGCTTCATCAGTCCAATACAAAGAGGAAGGCGTAAGGAGAGGAGTAGAATGAGGTAATCAGTCCCTCAACCTGGAGTCGATGTGTTCAGTCCATCAATCTTGTAGAATGTACAGCATAGGGCCGTAGACGTGGCTTATATACTGTAGTGAGGTGAGGTGAAGCAGGCGGAGGTGGGGTCATAGTGGTACCATCCACTAGTCGAAGTAGGTCTTGGTCCAAAGGTTGAACAAGTGTTGAAGAATTCTTTGTAACAAAATCCAATGATGCTGCAGTGTCTGACAGTTGTGATGAATGGTTTGAAAAACCGACAAGTTGAAGATTGAGACACTTATGCAGCATATGGAAATCTTTATTCAGGAAACGTTTCGCCACACAGTGGCTTCATCAGTCCAATACAAAGAGGAAGGCGTAAGGAGAGGAGTAGAATGAGGTAATCAGTCCCTCAACCTGGAGTCGATGTGTTCAGTCCATCAATCTTGTAGAATGTACAGCATAGGGCCGTAGACGTGGCTTATATACTGTAGTGAGGTGAGGTGAAGCAGGCGGAGGCGGGGTCATAGTGGTACCATCCACTAGTCGAAGTAGGTCTTGGTCCAAAGGTTGAACAAGTGTTGAAGAATTCTTTGTAACAAAATCCCATGATGCTGCAGTGTCTGACAGTTGTGATGAATGGTTTGAAAAACCGACAAGTTGAAGATTGAGACACTTATGCAGCATATGGAAATCTTTATTCAGGAAACGTTTCGCCACACAGTGGCTTCATCAGTCCAATACAAAGAGGAAGGCGTAAGGAGAGGAGTAGAATGAGGTAATCAGTCCCTCAACCTGGAGTCGATGTGTTCAGTCCATCAATCTTGTAGAATGTACAGCATAGGGCCGTAGACGTGGCTTATATACTGTAGTGAGGTGAGGTGAAGCAGGCGGAGGCGGGGTCATAGTGGTACCATCCACTAGTCGAAGTAGGTCTTGGTCCAAAGGTTGAACAAGTGTTGAAGAATTCTTTGTAACAAAATCCCATGATGCTGCAGTGTCTGACAGTTGTGATGAATGGTTTGAAAAACCGACAAGTTGAAGATTGAGACACTTATGCAGCATATGGACTGAACACATCGACTCCAGGTTGAGGGACTGATTACCTCATTCTACTCCTCTCCTTACGCCTTCCTCTTTGTATTGGACTGATGAAGCCACTGTGTGGCGAAACGTTTCCTGAATAAAGATTTCCATATGCTGCATAAGTGTCTCAATCTTCAACTTGTCGGTTTTTCAAACCATTCATCACAACTGTCAGACACTGCAGCATCATGGGATTTTGTTACAAAGAATTCTTCAACACTTGTTCAACCTTTGGACCAAGACCTACTTCGACTAGTGGATGGTACCACTATGACCCCGCCTCCGCCTGCTTCACCTCACCTCACTACAGTATATAAGCCACGTCTACGGCCCTATGCTGTACATTCTACAAGATTGATGGATTGAACACATCGACTCCAGGTTGAGGGACTGATTACTTCATTCTACTCCTCTCCTTACGCCTTCCTCTTTGTATTGGACTGATGAAGCCACTGTGTGGCGAAACGTTTCCTGAATAAAGATTTCCATATGCTGCATAAGTGTCTCAATCTTCAACTTGTCGGTTTTTCAAACCATTCATCACAACTGTCAGACACTGCAGCATCATGGGATTTTGTTACAAAGAATTCTTCAACACTTGTTCAACCTTTGGACCAAGACCTACTTCGACTAGTGGATGGTACCACTATGACCCCGCCTCCATCTGCTTCACGTCACCTCACTACAGTATATAAGCCACGTCTACGGCCCTATGCTGTACATTCTACAAGATTGATGGACTGAACACATCGACTCCAGGTTGAGGGACTGATTACCTCATTCTACTCCTCTCCTTACGCCTTCCTCTTTGTATTGGACTGATGAAGCCACTGTGTGGCGAAACGTTTCCTGAATAAAGATTTCCATATGCTGCATAAGTGTCTCAATCTTCAATTAATATTTTATAATACGTAAACCACACATTGTAAGCTTTGCAAGGAAATAAACATTTTCATTTTCATTTCATTTTCAGGATGCGGCCCATGCCAGTCGACTAACTCCCAGGTACCCATTTTACTGATGGGTGAACATAGACAACCGGTGTAAAGAAATACGCCCTAAGTTTCTACGCTTTCCGGGAATCGAACCTGGACACTCGCCGTGTGAAGCGAGAGCTTTAGCCACCAGGCCACGGGGCACAGTGGCCTGGTGGAGGGTGTGGGCTTCTCTCTCTGCTGGGGTTTAGCAAGGAGGTCCACCTTATCTAATTGAGAACTTCTAGTTCCTATTTCTAATTACAAAGGAACTCTTGTTCCTTTTTCTTTCACCATCCAGCTTTGGGCAACATATCTTCCCCGTACAAGGACCCCAATGGAAATAAGCCACCTGAACTTTTTTATGGGTATTCCTAGAAAATCTACACATGTGTTGCTGTGTATGATAATTTAAGTAAGTGTATTTATGTGTGGGTATACCTGAATAAAAACTTCCATCGGGAAGTCGGGCTGGTCGCTGCTTAAGCTGTCAGTGGCCCTAATAAACCCAACAAATAAACAAAATAGTGTTGTCAGTGGCTCTATTAACCACACAAGGTATTCTCTGCTTCATGTGTTTTATTTATCATGACATCATTTGTATTAAATTAAATCCGTTTTTTTTTATATTTTAATCAGGGGGAAGCGCTGGACCCGTAGGGAATTTACATAATAGTGCTCAACAATACTCTATTATATGTAAACTACAGTTTGCATACCACACAAAGAAAAACAAATTTTATTTTTTGTTATTTTTGATTTTGGAGCCATGCAGTAGTATTAGTGGTCATGTGGGCTTGCTACTGGATATGTAATTTATTGGCCATGGAAATAGCTGTCAGTTTTGACTCGGCGAATTATAGCCATTTTGCAGTTGGTAAGTTTATTCAGGTATACACAAATACAGTTCAATTCAATTCAATTCAATTCAAAGTTTATTCTCTATAAAGATTACAATGTTGAATTTACAGAATTTGGTTGTTGTGTGGTTTACATGTAGTTAAATAATGATTACAGAGTGTACCACTAGAACGCCTAGCATGGCTAGGCATTTCGGGCAGACTTAATTTAATTCTTTATTTTAAAATATTACAAATTATGAGGTAAGTTGGTATTATGGCTAAGTGACTAAATACTAGTTTGTGAGTTTAGCAATGTGAATGCTTTTGTTTTGGCACAGTACATAGTTTCAGTATTGGAGTATCATAGGATTACATACATTATCATATATAGCAGGATAACCCAGAAAAGTCAGACAAAGTGACTTATTTCCACTGGGGTCCTTTCATTGTTCACTGATGAACAATGATGATGAACACATACTCACTTATGTACTCCCACATCATAACTTCAACAATCACTTTGAACCTTTTATCCATTGTTAACAGGAATATAATTGATTCATTGTTTTCACAAGAGGCATTTTTGAATATATGAATATATCTTTTGTCTTATACAAATTTTGATTCACTTATAATTAATAATCTGCTGTACAACTATGAAATAATTACTATCCTACTGTACAACTATGATATACTCCTTAGTGTTAAGTAGTCTGTAAGCCAATAATGTTAAGTTGGCCCATAATGCCTAGGCATAATAGAGGCTCTCTCTGCATTGCAACCCACTATTGTAAATATAAAATCTCTATGTACTGTTTGCAAAAACATAAAATAAATAAAATAATAAATAAATAAATAAAAATAATTATTCTGTTCAAATTATTAACCCAGAAGCTTAGTAATGCAGGATAAACCAATAAAGTTTGTGTCATCAGGGACTGTTTGCCCTTTTTTTTCCATTGAGGTCCATTAATCCTCTTTCCAGATGTAAGGAAAGGTGCCCAACGTTTTTCCCCCATGCCAGGAATTGATCCTTGATCCCTCAGCATGTGAAATGATGATGTTATCAACTAAGGCACGAGCACCCACTTCCTTGGAACTAACCCAGGCACTGTGTAACCCTTGTAGGTTTAGCTCTTCTCACAAATATAGCAGTTAACCTTCCATATAACAGAGTGATAGGGGAAAGTGGAACAGAATTATTCCTCCATAAGCCATGTGTGTCGTAAGAGACGACTAAAATGCCGGGAGCAGGGAGCTATTAACCCCTTCACCTGTATATGTTACTAAGCTTGAAAAGAGACACTTTCATTTTTCTTTTTGGGTCACCCTGCCTCGGTGGAATATGGCCAGTTTGTTGAAAGAAGAAAGAAGTAACAATAACTGATAAGTATGTTACTAACAGACTTTAACTATGGTTCCCAAATTGATTGATCAAGTGGATTTTGTTCCCTATTTTCGAGGTTTGATATATGGAGGTCGCTTACATGGAGGGTTTACTAATAGTATGACCAGTAATCCTTGAAATGAAATTATTTTATATTTTTATTTAAATAGTAATAATCCAACTACCGTATTCCCCACCCTTAAATTTTATCACTTTATGAACGTGTATCTAGTACAGTACTTCATTTACTGTATGTCTTTGCTGCACTTCTGACTCGATTATTTTTATGTTATAAAGATTTTTATTGTTTTTTTATTGTAAAGTAAAAGGACACAAGTGCAACTAATGTGACATTCATAGTGGCAACGTTTCGCTCTCCAGGAGCTTTATCAAGCCATTACAAACAATACATGGACACAGAGGGTATATAAAGGCTCAGAGTGAGGTGAATACTAGTGAGGTACCATTTCAATGTTCACTAGTGGTAGTAGTAGTAGTAGTGGTAGTGACAAAAGTAATACAATATGGTAGAGCAATTAATTCGTACATGAGTAAAAGGATATAAAAGCTATTACTTGGGTAACATAAGATAGGTTGGACAAATATAAACTGGAATGAGGCAGCTTGTTTCAGTGTTCACTCTCTGTGCTTCGTGTAGTATAACAGGAGAGACTATGTGATGGCAGGGTTTACTGTTTTCAGGAGGATTCTTGCTAAGACTTCGGAGATGGTGAAGCTGCTGTTGTTTTGTTTAATTGTATTCGAAACAGCGATCAGTGCTGATTCGAGGCACTTGCGTCCTTTTACTTTACATATTGTCGGTAATTCTACCAACTTTATTACAATCTGTTTTTTTATTCTTTCAGGTGTCATTGTACCTAGTTGTATTAGAACTGATTTCCTCTAGTCTGTTTATTACAATATACAGTACACTACTGTATAAATATTTAAAAGTATACTAGAAATGTTATAAATGGTGCAAAGGTGACATAAAAACAATATCAAAGATGGTTGACACAAACCCACTACCAGTATAATATATTCCTTGCTTAGCGACGAATTCGTTTACTGACGTGGTCTTAGGAATAAATCTCCAATGTTAAGTGAGGAGAGGCTGTATATATATATATATATATATATTAAACATCTAGTTCATTCTTCTATATTTAAATACTGTAATTGTGCCCAAAATGCTATGCATAATATAGGCTTTGTTTTACAGTAATACTGTACACATACTGTTAAGCTTTTCAGACAAATTATCAAAACTGTGCTCAATCTTGCTCTCTATCACTGTTGGCAGAGAGCAAAATATGATGCCCCTCCAAACTACAGCAATCCCCATCCCTCCTTCAGAGTACAGGCACTCTACTTCCCACTTCCAGGACTCAAGTTTGGCTAACTGGTTTCCATAAATCTCTAAATAAATGTAACCTTGCTCACACTTCAATAGAATATCAAGTTATAAAAAACACTTGCCTCCATTCATTCCTATCTAACATGCTTACACATGCCTCCTGGATGTCCAAGCCCCTTACCTACAAAACCTAATGTACCCCCCCCACTTCCTCCAACCTTTCCTAGGGCAACCCCTACCCTGCCTTCTCTCCACTAGAGTTATACACTGCTGTAATTTAAAAGATATCAGCACATTAAATTTGTGGTCTGTGCAGATCATTAATTTATTGCAGTTTTTAATATTGTAATTCATAAATTTATTTCATGTGGTCTTTTTGATCTAAAAATTGGTTTAAATGTGAAGGCTGTAGGTGTCAAACTTTTTGATGCACTAAATGATTCATGACAACCCAATATGCTTATACAGTATGTGGTATAGGCAGTTTGGAGGGGCATCTGAGCTGTAAAGTTGACACTCCTCTGACAAGAGAGTGATTGAGTGATGGTAAAAGTGTTTCTTTTTTGGGTCACCCTACCTTAGTGGGAGATGGCTGGTGTGTTAAAAACATGGTGACTAAATAAATACATAGAATGAAAAAAAGGCCTTGGTCAGGATTACCTATCACAGTAAAGTATTTTGATGTTGTAGTTAGTTTTACATAATTGTAAATACACTACCTGTATTGTTTCTTACATATATGTTTATGAAACTTACATGTTACTGCTACACTGTTAAGTATTGCTTTTGTTTGTTTTTAATCTAAGCTCTGTAATTTTTTTCAGGTTAATTGGACCTAAAATCAAGCATTCTTATGCAGGTGATGATAAAATGGCTGAGCCACTACTCAAGCGAATATGCCAAGACTCACATCAGTTGTGTGAAGACCAGGCTAAACATATAAATCCACTTGATATAAGAAAAGCAATCCTTCATGATTTAACAGAACCTTTGGTGTTTCGAGGTTACCTTTCATCTTTTGGATGTGAAGATGAGTATGTCCCTCAATGGAAATGTATGGAGTGGGGTGCTTCAGACTGGCTTAAAATTTTTGAAGAAAAGGTACTTAAGTTTCGTGTTGGCACAAGGGTGAAGGAAAATAGAGTACTTTCAGGTCCACAGTGGGAAACAACTTGTTTAAAGGCAAATATGACCTTTTCAGAGTTTCTCCAATGGTCACAAGGAAAGAGAACAAGCTTAACCTCTTGCAATCAAGAAGTGAATTGTAATGATCACTGGGCTTACTTTGATTATTATTATATGAAGGACTTGGAGCATGTAGACCAGATGAAAGGGGCTGTGGATTGGAGCTTATTTGGGTTCCCTGACAAGGAAATTCGTGACAGTACTTTTTGGATGGGCACAGCTGGAGCAAACACTCCCTGTCATATAGATACATATGGCTGCAATCTTGTGGCACAGATAATTGGTAAGAAAAGATGGATTCTCTTCCCCAAATCTCAGTCTCAGTACTTGTCACCCACACGTATCCCATATGAAGAATCTAGCATATATAGTAAAGTTGGTTTTCCTTGTCCTAGTGTGGCCTCCCATCCCAAATTAAATTTTAGCACTCCATATGTAGTCACACTTGAGCCAGGGGATGTATTGTTTGTGCCAAAACAATGGTGGCATTTTGTAGAGCATATAAACTTTGCAGTGAGTATAAACACCTGGTTAGAACTTCCTTCTGACTGTGAGGAGCAGATTAAGGAGTCACTAGTAATGTATCAGGTTTCCAGCTTGTGTCAAGGTGTTCATTCTGTTGACCTCATTAGTTCTGTGTTTAACCCTAATATGATGGATATTGCTACAATGACATCATCCGAAATTTTAAAACTTTTGTTACAGCGTGTGTTTCAAGCTTCAATCTCTAGAGAAACTAGTGTTAAAAGTTGTGACACTGATGTATTCAGGAAAAAAGCACTTGAACAATCTTTATTAATGAAAGAAGACAAAATCATGGTAGATACAAAAATCACAGATATTAATTGGGAAGATAAAAAGTGGTGTGCAAATCACAAAATTGAAAAAGTTTCCAGCATGTCATTTTCAGAATATATGAATAAAGTTTTGGGGTGCACAGAGACAGAAGTGCCAGTGGAAAAGGCAGAATATTGTACTAAAGCTAAAGATAGTAACTCATGTGAAGATGAGGGTATAATGAAATTTTCCCAAATTAAACTCTTGGTGGATGCCTTTACAGATCAAAGGGTGATAGACATATTGAAAATGGTTATAGATGAGAAATTAGCAGAAACCTGAGTTTTTATTTTATTTTTGTGTGTATTTTTTGTTTGGATGTGTTTTTATTTTTTATAGCAAGGGGGCTAGAGACAGTGGAAATGTCATTTTGAGAGTGTGTAATATGATACTGTATTAGTAAGAAGAGAATTCAAAGTGTAGAATTTAGAAAACATTGTAAGGTCCCCAGTGGTATAATTCAGAGGACTGAAAAGGGGTTATTAATGTGGTTTGGGCATTTAGAGATAATATTGAGGGATAGGATGACAAAAAGGGTGTATAAATCTGATGTGGAGGAAAGGGGGGAGGGGTTGTGCCAGGAATGGTTGGAGGGAGGGGATAAATGAGTCTGAAAATTAGAGGCTTGAGGATCCAACTTGCTTGTGTGAGCATATTAGACAGGAGTGAATAAAGATGTGTGGTTTTTAATAGATGTATTGTTGGAGTGAGCAAGGTAATACATATTTATGAAAGGATTCAGGGAAACCTGTTAGCCAGACTTGAGTCCTGGAGGTGGGAAGGTTGAAGGTAGGAGGGTAATGTGAATTGTGATGTCAGCACACTTTTAGCAAGGTATTGATTGAATGGAAAATAGTGCATGTGTTTCCTTTTTTTATGTAGGGGATGGGGGGTCCTCTTGCCTTAGTGGGATATGGCGGTCAGTATTCTAGACATGCATACATATAGACTGCACATATGAAACTTTATTTGTTTGCATTATAGTAAAATATAATATTTTTAATTATTGTACTTTACTATCATTCTTCACTAGCACAACCCATTTTTCACACAAAATTGTATGTACTTTCCTGTATATTAATAATCTAATGAGACACTTTTTCACTATTTTTTCAGTATAAGAAATTCTTTGAAAAGTCAGTCGACTATTTGAATAGTTTTCATAATTTTTACTTTTCTCACATATTTCTTTACAGAGTAATGGATCTCATGTGTCTAAGGTCAAGAAACTGCTGTAAGAATATAATCAGTAAAATATGGAATTTTTAAATTAAAAAAAAAAACAGCTATGTTAAATTAAATACTGTACATATATTATATATCAGGAAAAGGAAACTGGAGATTAAGCTAATTTATAACATATAATGGTAAGAGTGCATTTGTTACACTGTGAGCGGCTTGTGACTAAGATTAAGGCTTTATTTACTCTATAACTTGGTGCCTTGCATTAGAAGACACAATGATGGCAGAGTGTGAAAATGGCATTCAGACACTATCATCCCTCTCAGTTAAGAACAGTATCACATTTTTACAAGTGATAGTACATCGTTTTGTCAATATAAAATTCAATGAGCCTTGTGCATCATTCTTACGAGAGTCTTTGCGGTCAATACCTCCAAACTTTCATCCAGAGTTCCTTGATAAATTAGCTCCAGTATTTGATAATGTTACAAACTGTCCTTTAGAGAAAAATATCCTTGATGTGATAGATGAGCTGGCATTAATGTTACTGTCACCATCTATAACGCAGATTGACGTTGATAAGTTTAAATTTCCAACAAGAAATCCTTCAAAATATTTAATGGTCCTGGCACATGCAAAAAACATCAGAATGTTTATCAGCTATAGAGAAAATGTATGGAAATATTCCCTAAGCAAATTTGATCTTCTTTCTTCAGCACTAATTAAAATGCCAATGCTGAGACACTTAACATTACGCCACATAAAAATTGCCAGCTGCAAAATTTATGAGCTGCTACTTGGCTTGGCTTTAAATAGTCCTCATCTTACATATCTAGACATGAAATATGGAGCACTTACAGACTCGGGACTTGATCCCAATTCAGCAGGAAAGTTTGGAAAACTCTCAACCTTTACCGATTGTATTCCTGCTTTACTAAAGATGAAAACTCTGCTGCATCTCAATGTTAGTGAAACATGGCTGACATATGTAGGCATAAAGGCAATAGTTAAGCATTTACCTCTTCAAAAACTAGATGCTGTTATGGATGGTGGATATGACCTTCAGGCTGTTGTGATAAAGGATTTACTGTTGGTATCTGAAGATACCCCATTATCATTACCAAGAAAAGTATATAATGTTGCAGCTGAGGAAATTAATATTCAGGCTATCTGCAAGGCTTGTCCATATCTGGAGCATATCACTCTACAACATTGCAGGGTTGAAAATATAATGTCTCATTTTGAAAAACTTGCATACTTGCAGCATTTAAAGAAAGTGACTCTGTGTGGCCTTGAATGGTTACTGTTCCACTCACACATAGCAATCAATGAAGACCCAATGCCTATTAGCAATCAGGTGACAGAGATAACATTGACAGAACCATCCTGCGTGGATGCAAGTCATTTAGGTGCTCTCTCTATATGCTTCCCTCAAGTAACCCACTTATGGGTACTTAAATCAAGAGAAGACAACAGTGATGAGTTATGGGATGGAGGCAGAGTTTTCACCAAGCTGACCCACCTCTACTTCCAAGGCTCACTCTTCATTGGAGATTTTGGTAGAGTTGAGGTAATTAAAATTGCTAGTACATTAGTAATTTTGTAATAATTTGTAATAATTTTGTAATAATTTGATTTTTTCTCATAAATTTTTGTCTCTTTCAAACATTTAAATTTTTTTAATGATACTGGTACATATATATATGTGTGTGTGTGTGTGTGTGTGTGTACTCACTCACCTAATTGTACTCACCTAATTGTGGTTGCAGGGGTCGAGACACAGCTCCTGGCCCCACCTCTTCACTGATCACTACTAGGTCCTCTCTCTCTCTGCTTCCAGAGCTTTGTCATACCTCGTCTTAAAGCTATGTATGGTTCCTGCCTCCACTACATCACTTGTTAGGCTATTCCACTTCCTGACGACTCTATGACTGAAAAAAATACTTCCTAACATCCCTATGACTTGTCTGAGTCTTCAGCTTCCAATTGTGACCCCATGTTTCTGTGTCCCCTCTCTGGAACAACCTGTCTCTGTCTGTGTGTGTATGTGTGTGTACTCACCTAGTTGTACTCACCTAGTTGAGGTTGCAGGGGTCGAGTCCAAGCTCCTGGCCCCGCCTGTTCACTGGTCGTGTGTGTGTGTGTGTGTGTGTGTGTGTGTACTCACCTAGTTGAGGTTGCAGGGGTCGAGTCCGAGCTCCTGGCCCCGCCTCTTCACTGGTCGCTACTAGGTCACTCTCCCTGAACCGTGAACTTTATCATACCTCTGCTTAAAGCTATGTATGCATCCTGCCTCCACTACATCGCTTCCCAAACTATTCCACTTTCTGACTACTCTGTGGCTGAAGAAATACTTCCTAACATCCCTGTGATTCATCTGTGTCTTCAACTTTCAACTGTGTCCCCTTGTTGCTGTGTCCCATCTCTGGAACATCCTGTCTTTGTTCACCTTGTCAATTCCTCTCAGTATTTTGTATGTCATTATCATGTCCCCCCTATCTCTCCTGTCCTCCAGTGTCGTCAGGTTGATTTCCCTTAACCTCTCCTAGTAGGACATACCTCTTAGCTCTGGCACTAGTCTTGTTGCAAACCTTTGCACTTTCTCTAGTTTCTTTACATGCTTGGCTAGGTGTGGGTTCCAAACTGGTGCCGCATACTCCAATATGGGCCTAACGTACACGGTGTACAGGGTCCTGAACGATTCCTTATTGAGATGTCGGAATGCTGTTCTGAGGTTTGCTAGGCACCCATATGCTGCAGCAGTTATTTGGTTGATGTGCGCTTCAGGAGATGTGCCTGGTGTTATACTCACCCCAAGATCTTTTTCCTTGAGTGAGGTTTGTAGTCTCTGGCCTCCTAGACTGTACTCCGTCTGCAGTCTTCTTTGCCCTTCCCCAATCTTCATGACTTTGCACTTGGTGGGGTTGAACTCCAGGAGCCAATTGCTGGACCAGGTCTGCAGCCTGTCCAGATCCCTTTGTAGTTCTGCCTGGTCTTCGATCGAATGAATTCTTCTCATCATCTGCAAACAGGGACACTTCGGAGTCTATTCGTTCCGTCATGTTGTTCACAAATACCAGAAACAGCACTGGTCCTAGGACTAACCCCTGTGGGACCCCGCTGGTCACAGGTGCCCACTCTGACACCTTGTCACGTACCATGACTCGTTGCTGTCTTCCTGACAATTATTCCCTGATCCATTGTAGTGCCTTCCCCGTTATCCTTGCTTGGTCCTCCAGTTTTTGCACTAATCTCTTGTGTGGAACTGTGTCAAATGCCTTCTTGCAGTCCAAGAAAATGCAATCCACCCACCCCTCTCTCTCTTGTCTTACTGCTGTCACCATGTCATAGAACTCCAGTAGGTTTGTGACACAGGATTTCCCGTCCCTGAAACCATGTTGGCTGCTGTTGATGAGATCATTCCTTTCTAGGTGTTCCACCACTCTTCTCCTGATAATCTTCTCCAAGACTTTGCATACTATACATGTCAGTGACACTGGTCTGTAGTTTAGTGCTTCATGTCTGTCTCCTTTTTTAAAGACTGGGTCTACATTTGCTGTCTTCCATGCCTCAGGCAATCTCCCTGTTTTGATAGATGTATTGAATATTGTTGTTAGAGGTACACATAGTGCCTCTGCTCCCTCTCTCAGGACCCACGTATGTATGTAGGGATATGCACAGATTTTGGAGTTGTGATCCTACACATAGTATAGTACGTTAAATTTTCTTGTTTGAGTACTCTCTGTTGTAAACCCAAACTTAATCTGTCTGCTCTCCTATTTCACAGAGAAACATATGCTGGTAACACTGACACTGGTTTGCTTTATTAACTATGACTCCTGTCTTTAACCTGAAGCTCTTCCTTCAGCTCTTCTGCCTCAGCTTTCCCCTCCATTTTTTTCCTTTGTGCTATGCACTGCTCATGAGTACAATAATAATAATCTAATGTTCATCAGCTGATACATAATGTTTTTTCTTTTTCCAGAGAGAACAAGGGCTACAGAATGTGTTCGATGTATTACTTTTGGGTTGTAACACCTACGGAGTTTACTCTTTACACACCACATTGAGAGAGTTTGGTAGGGCTACATTGAGGTGTTCGCTTGAAGGACGGGAGAGGAGACAGAGAGTTGTTTTCCTAGGGCTGGGATGGAGGATTTTGTTAGCCGTCTGAGACATCATGAGGGTAATGGGACAACCCTATTTCTGTCCATGTGGAGGCAATGATTTTTGGCAGACGTAGGAGTGAAGACCGATTAGAGGTATAGGTCAGCAATAGAAATAATTTTGGGAGTAAGGGGGGCCCCCTGTCATATGGGGTTTTTTGCCAAGGAGAGGATTGGAAATGAAGGTTGTCCAGGGAAATTTGGTGAAATTTTTGGGGTTTACAAATACGTAAGGAAAATGCGGTAACATTCATTGACAACTGGGACCTCTTCTAGGGCAAGTATATGCATGCCAGGGATGGGTTCCTTATCTAAGTCTGGGGTGGTGCACTGGCAAAAGCAAGGGAGGGGGCAGTTAGGGCTTTAAAAATAGGAAAAATTAATTTTGGGTTGGGGTTTTGCAGGAAAAAAAGTGAAGTCCCATGTAGTAATATTACATTCTAGGGGAACTATAATAACAGAAGGGTAATATTGAAAAAGCCAGGGACATTGGTATAAGGACAGTAAAAGGGTTTTGTAGAAAAACAGAAATGAGCAGGAAGGGAAAAGAAAAGGAATCTTTCAATTTTATTAGCTAATTGCCGTAGTGCTAGGGAAAAAGATGGACGAGTTTAATTAGTTGCTAGTGCAGGTAACATTGGTGTATTTTGCCTTAACTGAGACGTGGTTTAATTCAAAAAGTCGGGACATGCCTGCGGAATGTCATATCAGGGTTTTTAAATTGTTCCAAGTGGATAGAAGTATCGGGAAGGGGGGTGGGGTGGCATTGTATGTCGAGATCGCTTGAACTGTTGCATAAAAAACGGGTTTTAAGTCTGAAGTAACACATACAGAGTCTGTTTGGATAAAATTTTTCCCAGAGGGGCAGAAAAACTGTTTTTTAGGAGTGATATACCGTCCCCAAACTTAGATAGGGACCAAGGGAGACTACTATGGGAGGAAATTGTTAAGGCCACAAGGCACGATAATGTAGAAATTTCTAGGAGA